GTAACCTAGAAAACTCATCAATATCAAATAAGATGCGAGAGAGAGAGAGAAAGAGAGAGAGAGAGAGAGTTTCTTGAGTGTTGTAGATGAAAGAATGAGCTCATCCAAATCAACCCAACTTATACACATTAGATACCTGCATAAATCGTATCCAACTACAACTCGCATAACATTACCGGATATTTATATAAATAACAAAACAAACTAAAAGTTACAAAAAATAACAATTTATACCCACTTATAAAAAACATTTGAATGGTAAGTTTGACCATAAGTTAACCACAGACTTTTAATGGTTGTAGTTGGTGCACCTAGTTTTTTACTCACGCCATTTTCCATTTACACCGTCGTACGCATGATATTCACTCTTTTCCATTTTCCCATGGAAGTGTGCTAGAGCATGGTTCCAAAAATCCCATGTGAATTGGGCATTGCCAACTTGGTCATCTAGAGATATAGAAATCCAAGCTTGCGTTAAACACCGCTTATTCGTCTTTGGTCCAATTTCTTCTACTTTTTTTTTTTTTACTTTTGTTTGTTTTTTCTTCTTAATGGTGGTATCGTTTCTTCGACATAGCGTTGTGGAGAGGTTGTGGTTGAGAAAGTTGGGTTTCGGAATGTGAAGAGTAATATTGTTGAAATTGGTTTTGTGTTTGGAAATGATTCGGTTGGTGGAAGTGATTTCGTTCAAATGGTTGTTGGAAAATATTGTTAGTAATAATATGGCCCTAGGATCTGCACGAAAGACCAAACAATAAATTGTTACTGAGGTATGTGTTTGACATAGTTTCCTCAAAACAAATTCGCCCTATATGGGTGTTTGTTTCCCAAGATACAACAGTAGATTTCAATTCTTCTAGATTGCCCGAACCCTCACTTGATCGGATTATACATTGGTTGCAGCAAGATATGGAAGATGAAGCAGAAGCGTAAGAGAGGAAAAGAATTATTTCGTTTCAATCAGTCACATAGGCGTTGTATTTATACTACACAATGTAACGTATGTAATTAAAATGAAATAATAATTGTCACAATTAAATAAGACAATTAATCAAGAAATCAAAAACCGAAATCTATGATTAATGGCTCTTAATTCGTTTTGTAATTGTTAACTAAAAAGAAATAATTTCAAAAAGATCATTGAACTTTTTTGATCGACTGGGGGTGCATGCGTGCAAACTAGCTCGCATTTACAACCCACGTGCATTTGCAGGAGAAAACCTTGGTTTCTATAAATCTTACAAAAGTAGCTAGTCTTTGTAGTTATAAATCAATTTTTTTCCTCCCACCAATGTAAGATGAGTTAAAACTCACTTAACTCATTTATTATTCTCTTTCAACTACCCTACTTTGACAAGTAATTTATCATTCATTTTGAATCCGTTTTGGACGTGTTATATATCGAAACGAAGATATCATGGAGGAGAACATGAATATATAATCATTAATTTATTTTGATTATATTTAGAGTCCAAAATTCATGCTCAAAATGGAAACAAAAATCCATTTTTGGAAATTAGTAAAACTAATTTTCCAGTAAATACCTATTGTTGTATATGTGAGGATTTTTGCATGTCCATTAACCCTCTTGTTGGTGATTCGAAGTGTAGGTATTGGGGAGGAATTGTGTTAAGTGTATATGGACCGATCGAAAGCAATGTTTTAAAACTCGGGTCGATCCGGCCGGTTCAACCGGTTGGACCGTGACCCGGAGTACAAGGCGGGTCAATTGAGAACACTTTTTTGTAGAAGTTCGGACCGGATCGAACCGGCCGGTTTTCCCCTAAACCGCGGTTCAACCGCTTATGTTGAACCGGTTAAACCGGATTGACCCGTTTTAATAGGTTTTTGATATTTGGATACAAATAGCAAACGCCAAAACAACGAGTTGTTTGCGGATTCTTCAATGTTTTTCAATGTTTAAACTTTATAGACATCAAATTATTGGTTTTATATGTTTATGCATTATGCAAGAAAGTAAAAATATATAAAAATAGAAAAATACCATAAACCGGGTTGATCCGGTGGTTCAACCGGTTGAACCGGTCATCACACCGGGTTAACTAAAAACCCGAGTTTTAAAACATTGATCGAAAGTGGATGTTTTTTGGGATGTGTGAAGTGTTTAAGATTTTAGATGTTGACCCATTTTTGATGTAAAGTGAATAAGAAATACTTAATTTAGTTTAAGGTATTATTCCCTATGTTTTTAACCTTTACTATGTTTTTACATCTATTGACCATACGATTGTGACATATTTAGGTATCATGTTTCTTGACGTGTCGGGGCATTATTCCCTAAAAATCTAGTATTTTATTTTATAGTTGTTAAAAGATTATTACACCGGAAGATCAATATATACAACAAGCACATAAAACACATGATTTTCAATGAAACGTGAGAATAAAGCAATTATACAAGATGCGAAAACACATGATCTATAATGAATGTGATTGGTGATGATCAAAGGAGTAAGTAACGCATTCTTATTCACTCAACTCCCAATTGAATACGTATTTCCAAAATCTCAACTTTCTCTTATTGGAAATTTTCTATACACCAAACCAAAGGAATAATTTTTAAGGCATATATCTCACTTCACTTTCTGTTGAAAGTGAAACATCCTTTGAGCAAAACATTTCAATTTACAAAGAATAATCATTTCTAAACCATAAAACCAAATAAATGCTACGTATAATCACACTTGTGGTATACATTATATTTGTCAATTGTGTCATTGTGTGTTAAGATCATGTAGAACCATAGTATCAATAGAAAAGTAGGGTTCCTTTTTCGAAGTTTATATTCGATCTTATCCTTGTACCAATATTGTGGCTCTATGATAAGAAGAAAACAAGATTTTTCATAATGAATCTGAAACTATAACCATTGACATATATAGAAAGTCCTCCGGACTATATATTTTAAATATAATAACAAACTTATGTAGACTGTGATTGACTCTTGTTTTTTCGTCTTAATGAAAGATGTAAGTACACTACTCATTTACATCATCGAAAATATTCATGTCCAGTCTCTGTCTCTCATCTCATGCTGTCCATTTTTTTCTAGTTTAACCTAAAACAACAAAAGTTGCTGGATTTCACACAAATCTCCACTAGATATGTATAAAGAAACCTAAGAATCCATAGAGTGACCACCAAATATGCAACTTAATATCACAAAAATTCCCATTCTATAACAAGATTCTAAAGCTTCAACAGGCCACCACAAGGAAATCATGAACAAAAAGACACCAATTCCTCACTGGCTCACAAACTTTACACAATTTGAAACCCTTTTTGCCATAATCTGGATTCTCCATTGGGCCTCTCTAGATGCACCATGTACAAAAGATTTAAACAGAGAAAGTTAATTGTTCGATAGTTGACAACTAGCTAAAAAGAGAACGAGAGACGTCCATTCACCAAGTAAACTCAAAGGTTGCAATCATGCAACAAATGAAGTTTAATATTGTTCACAAATTGGAGCGTTTCACTAGTTTGGTGTTTGAAGATAGCGATAAATTATGACTACAATCCAAATCGCTAGTCATCAATTTATAATATTTATCACCCCAAAGTAAACTAAGCATGACAAATCAAGAAAAAAAAATTTTAGTTGAGATTAATAAAACATTTGATCTCGTATAATTGTAAAACTTTTATTACTTTGAATTCCATATTTTAGTTGATGTCTATGTACATTTCGTGGTTCAAATCAATTCCGATTTGTGACACACGTTCATAACAGTAATAGTATAATGCAAACGAATATTACCTTAAACTAGGTATGAGATCCATGTATCACATGGGTTTATTTAAAAAAATTAATATAAAATTCAAAATATTTGAAAAGTTTGAATTTATAAGAAAAGTGAGAATTGAATTATAAAATTTAAAGTGTTTTTTTTTTTTTACTTTTAAATTAAAAAAAATAATTTAGATAAATAAATAAAGGAAATTAATGAAACTTTAAATTATTAATTTTGAAATTAGAAAGAAAGTCCATTAATTAAATTGATATGTATTTATTATTAAATTTAAATAATATTTGATATTTAATAAAATAGAAAAACCATAACATGACAAGTGGAATAAGAATTAATTTAAAATTACCATAAAATTACATGTGGCAAATTAAATCAGAACATGATAAGTGATAAAAAAATCTTCATTTTATTAGAACATTTTATTAGAACAGAAGATGTGAACTTGATGAAAAGATTGACAATATCCCTATCCTTATTGTTTAGGTTAAGGTGATGCTTGTTATATACAAAGGACACGTGTAGAAAGTTTTAGTGAGGAGCATTGTGGATAAACTAAACTTTCCAACTTGTGTACAAATTTATAAGCTCTACTATTTATTAATCTTTTTCAAAATTAAAACAACATTTTCTTCAATTAGATAGTTTCTTCACTTTATGTAAGAACTATAAATAAACAGATTATTTGAAGTTTGGGGCTTGTTGAGTTGGTTGTTGTGGATACTCCAAGTAAGTGAGAATTCACAAGTTTGGCATCATTTTACGATTTTAGGATAAGGACATTTGCGATTTATTCTATAATCTTAAGATAAGCGTTCAAGATAAAGATAGCATCGTCAAAAGCAAATCATCAACAAGAAACGCATACATAGTAGATTGATTGAAATGTTAACTTTCAAATTCTCATCAAATGTAAAAAGACATAAATGCCCTCTCATAAATAAAAAAAGGTTGTCATTGTTTCTAGCTTGTAACAAATCAAACATGAAGCATCAACCAAAAACAAGATTGACAAATATGTACGTGCATCAACCACAAGGCAAGATTTCAAATTAAAGTCTAAGATGATAATATTATGAAAGAGGGAGGGAATGTACACTGAATTCACATAACAGACCATTCGGCTATTATACTACCCTCTCATCCACCCACTGATTCATCCTCACAAATTTACGAAAAAGACAAACGATAAACAATCAAACCCTTTATTCCTTCTTCTCTTTTTAACGATCACTGATCATGGTGATCCTCGCCGGAGACTACATCACATCCGGCAGTGAGAGTGAACCCCTCGCCAGAGTAGTAATACTCGTTAATCCCATTTGCAGCAGTTAAACAGCAAGAAGATCCGACACTCAAATAAGGCATGTTATGGAAAGATTCTGCAATTCCACCCGCGATTAAAGCTCCAGCCATGCCACCTTCATCATGAACATACTCCACGATTCTGTGCTTAAGAGTCTCAAACATCACCTCCGGTTCATGGTTCATGGCCCGGAGGACGTCGCTGCAAGATGGGCCCGGAACAGCCCGGGTCACGGAAAACCCATGTGGGCCGTCGATTTGAGATACTCGGATCACTGAAGGTCCGCCGAACAGGTTGTGGAGACTTCCCAGAGCTTCTTCGTATGCACCACCCAAGAACATTCCTAGATAGTATCTCATTGAATTCTCACCTTCCAGCTCATGGAGAGGTAAGCTTGATTCTCCGCCGATGAACTTGTTGATCTTCCCTTCGCTGTCGCAGGTTAAATCCGATAGAACTCCCTTCTTGTTTGGAAATTCTTCCAGCCGGTGAATCGGGACGATTGGGAACAATTGGCCGAATCCCCAGAAATCAGGAATTGAAGTGAACACGGAGAGATTGATATGATATGTGGTCACCGGATCCGATGCTCCGATTGTTTTCGCCACCAGATCGCATAACCCATCAACGGAGGCCAACTGCTCCATGTCAAGACTTCCATCTTTGAATTTCTCAATGCATCTATGCTTCAGCTGATCAGCATACGCCAGACAAGCTTCATACTCGCCTCTGATGGCGGACTGTGAAAGATTATCATAATCGGATTGAGCTTCCTCAGGGAGGCTTTCGCCGAACTGCTTAACGTCAGTGGAAGACAAAATTGGCACGGTGTATTTGCTGGAAGAAACCGCTTCGAATATGAGGATTGAATGGTGGGACACAATGGCTCGTCCGCTCTCGCTACAAATCACCGGATGCTTCACGGATTTCTGATCACAAACAAACTTTACCGCCTGAACAACCGCGGCGGCGTACTCTTCAAGAGTGTAACCCACGGAGACATCTGAGTCGGTTGATTTTGAACCATCGTAATCAATGCCTAGTCCACCGCCTATGTCGATAACTTTCATGGATGCACCAAAGCGGACTAATTCACTGTAAATTTGCGCCGCCTCACCAACGCCATCGGCCAGTAAGTCAGTGGAAGGGATCTGAGATCCGATATGGAAATGGAGCAATTGTAGGCAGTCTAACATACCACATTTTTCAAGCTTCTTCACAACACGGAGAATTTGCGTCGTTGTAAGACCAAACTTACCTTTTTCGCCGGAAGTCGATCCAAAATGGCCTGAATGCTTCGTACGGAGCTTAGCACGGACTCCTACAACGGGAAGAACACCAAGTTTTCGGCTCATATCAATAACTGAATCCAGCTCCTCTTCTTGCTCGAGAACAATCACAGTATTCAACGAAAGCTTTCGAGCGATCAAAGCAAGTGAGATGTATTCTGCATCTTTGAAGCCGTTGCAAATCAGGAGAGATTCAGAACTTCCTTTGCAGAGACAGCTCATGGCTAGAAGAAGCTCTGGTTTGGATCCGGCCTCCAATCCGAACCTAAAAGAGGAACCGAATTTCACAATGTCCTCGACGACGAACCGGTCCTGATTGCATTTCACGGGATAAACTCCCTGGTAATGCGAGCCGTATCCCTGCGACTCGATGGCGCAATTGAAAGCCGACTGGATCGACTCCAGGCGGTTCTTGAGAACGTCCGGGAACCGGATGATGAGTGGAAGCGGCAGGTCAAGACCTCCGGTCGATTTCGGGTCAGACGCCTTCTTCACAACCTTCAGGAGATCAATCTCCTGATGGTCCATGGTTCCGGAACCATGCGGACGGACGGCGACATTGCCGGAGGAGTTAACAGAGAAGTAAGGCGCACCCCACCCATTAATTCTGTAGAGAGCAGCGGAGTGATTCGGTGACCATTGAGCGGCGGATGATAGATCAGGTAGAACGGTGTTTCTCGAATGTGGTACGCCGGAAAAAGGCTCCGGCGCGGGAAAAGAACCATCCCAGGCAATGTAACCGGGAGGAAACGGGGGAGAAGCATCAACGCAACACGCTAGGGTCGGCATCTCTTCCCCGATCTGTTAATCGATGGTTAGAAGGAAAGAATCAAAGAATTCAAAGTATTTAATTTGGCTAAGTTTGTAAAGTTAGGGGGCTTTACAACCCGCCGAGGCCGGAGCCCCGGCTACCCCCTCAAAAGAAGCAGATGAAGATCTGAATCAAAGGAGAAACAAACCCTAAACTCCTAATCAATACAAAAATCCCCACAACTGCCGCTCAGAAGAAGAAACGCACAAATTTATCCAAAATGAACACTCCAGTTATCAAATCAAACACCGAAACAAATCTAGAAATTAAACACTGATCCCACCATGCAAAATCAGAATCTCAAAACCCAAGCCCCGACAAAACAAATGGAGCGGCGGCCGGAAACCTAACGGCGACAATTAAACCTAATGTGTTTACTGTTTACAGAACGATTCACGAATGTGCAATGAGCGAGAATTGCATGAGAGTTGATGGCCCTTTATATAGTGGTTGGGGATTGATATCTCTTTCTCGGACCAAATATTTCAAAATACAGATTTATGTACAATATGTAATGCATGTTGTACAAGCTTTCACACCCTTTCTACTTTGATTCAGTACTTATTGTATTGAAAAAGGAAATCATCTCGAAAAGAGAACTCAGGTACACATTTTTCTGCATATAGTACAAGTAGATGACACCTACTCAATCTTATCCTGGATATAACTATTATTGCTCTGGAATTAGGAAAATTATCACATCAAATTATTTCAAATAAAAGAAAGGTACAACATTTAATGCATGATTTAAAAGTTATATGTATTCATATTCTGTCTTTAACAGCTACAGCTCTGAAAAAAAAAAAACTAATCAGCTTTCCCGAATTGATGCACGAAAATACGAATAGTATTCGATGTACAGTGCCTAATACGTAATGTACAAGTTAATATTTAAATTTTGATTAAATAAATTTTTTTACCAAAATATCATTTTATCGTTTATTTGTCTAAAAAATCGCCGCCAACCACATTTTTTCACGACCGTTAAAAGATTTTCGTAATCAACAAGCAAATCGACGTCGTTTGACCAAAAAAAAAAAAATTCTAGATGACCAAGATTTTCGTAAATAGTCATCTACAAAAATTATCGCTATTTGAGTTATTTTTTACATTTCTATAGCTCTTTTATAGTAAAAAGTTTTAAAAAAAATATCTATTACAGTCAATTTTTTCAGTAGCAAATTTATGTTTATTAATAATAGAAACATTTGAGATTGCATTGAATATTGCTAGATGTTTCATAAAGATGCTACTTAAACTACTTGTATGCTATGCCTTACAATATGTACACCAAGTTAAAAACAAGGTTAACGTTTCAAGATGTTTACTTTCCCATAGCAATAACATTAATTTTAACACAAGTCGTAGTATATGACGAGAATTCTGTACATATAAAGAATATTGAAATTCGATTTAGTATGAAAAACTTATGCTTCTTCCAAGTTTCGCTATTAAACCGGTACGATTTTGCGTATAGTAAAAAGTGAAATTTTGATAAAATAATTTTTAGCCTAAGTGATCTAAAAGAAAGTTGTACTAGTCATAAAACCGATAGCATACATATAAAGAATGTCCAAATCTAACTTCGTACGAAGAAGTTATTATTTTTCGAAGTTTTAGCACAGTTGTGTTAGCACGGAAATTGAATTTTAAATTGGTTAACTTTTAGCTGAATCAAATATGAGAATTGAAGATCTCGTAATAAGGAATCCAACGATATAAGGATAGGCGAAAACGGAGTTCGTATCCAAAAGTTATGAATTTTACAGAGTCTTTAACAGTGTAATCTTTGTAGACTCTTAAATTTAAGATCGGCTAAGAATTAGCCGACAGGGTCTAAATGAAAGTTGTAGTACTCGGAAATACCTACGTATGGACATAGATAGCATCGAAAACGGAGTTCATATGGTCGATATATGAATTTTTGAAGATTTTGGTTATACATACCCCTCCAGCCATTGTCGAACACGTGTCAACATCTGAGACGGACAACCAGGCCAGGGAGCAGCGCACACCTTGTCTGGGTGCGGGGCGCTCTCAGATATTTTCACTATAAATGGTGCTATAGCTCTCGATTCGATCTCCGTACCTCCTCAATTCGTTCTATCGAGTTTCTCTCGACTATATTCAAAGTTTTCTTTAGTTTTAAGCGTTTGGCGAAACATTGAGGTTCGTGAGAGCCCAACATCTAGTAGCTAGCAAGCCGGAGTTCTATTTGTGCAATTTCCAGACTTTTTTCTAGGAAATCTTTGTAAGTTAAATTACACAAAACATTATTTTAGTGTAATTTATATTTATATTCATAGTTATTATTATGGACCTAAAAATAAAATTTATCAGTAATTCCAAGTCAAGATATTGATTGATCTACTTATGGGGATAAGGTATAGGATGGATTTAGTGAGGTGTTTAAAGCGAGATTTCCAAACAGTATACTCTGTATACCAAACGGACCCTACCTCTGATATGATCCTATCTGGTTATTCCTTACTTGATAAATATTGGTGTAGACATTGGTGTTAGTGGGGAATCTAGACTATCATTAGTCACCAAGAATATAAGACTAAGACTTAGTAGTATGAACCTAGGTCATATCATAGAAAAAGCTAAAGTACCAAAGCGAAATTATGCCCAAATTCCGAGGCATCCACTTTTATCAAGTGAGTGCATAGTTAATTTCATATTACACACGGATACGAAGTATTCAGATAATTAAATGTTATGTTTGTCTATTATCTGCATTATGTGTTGGATGAACCTATATGACATGATTTTACTAAATCTAATTATATAAGCATTTTTGTACACACACACACACACACACACACACATATATATATATATATATATATATATATATATATATATATATATATATATCGGGTAATGATGGGCGGTGAGAGATAAGAGATGATAGATGAAAAAATGATTAGCAGATGCCCTGACCCTTACTTGCGATGTTTGCGATGATTCCAATGTAGTCATCGACTGGAGTATAAATGACGACCACTGAATAATCTAGACAGTCCAGGGGAACACCAACAGGATTGCAACTTGCAGGTGATGAATTACGAGTTTAGGCAAACTATGAACCGTGTATTCGTGCGATGTACTCTACTGACTTGTATTACGGAGGAATCCCCGAAGTAGTATCGTCAATGCGATGATAGGCGATGAACAAGGAGTAGTCCTTCACGATGAAAATATAAAATGCGATGATAGGCGATGAACATTAGGAGAAGTCCTTAACGATGATTAAATAAGAAAATTACACATGTGATGATCCTTCAAAGAGGCTCTCAAAAATAAATATTGAAAGAAAATAGGGATTGATAACTGGTTTAAGTTTTTTGATAGATAATTAAACATACTAATCATATTATTGTGGGTTGAAAACCCTATGTACTCACCAGGTTTTCCAACCTGACCCACCTAGCTTCTTTGTATCACAGGTAGCGGTACAAAGGTACACGAATGATGAAAGATTCAAGGAGATGTAGGTTGTTAGTCTAAGATACTGTAAGATCTGTTGTAACATCCTAATTTTTTTATAATCAATGAAAAACATTTCTTCAGAAATACTTTTACGAGACTAAATTTCACATTTATAAATAAACTCTATTTGAAATAATCATAAATAAAAATTATTAAAATGTCTGTAAAAATGGGGATGTCATAGGATCATCATGTCTTTTCCCAATATGGATATAATCTCATTCCCGAAGGAATCATATTCTTTACCCCGAAGGAACTTCTATCTCATTCTTGAATGAATCATCTATCCAACATCTCTATCTCTAGTATGTGACTCATCACAAAATATTTATCCAATAAACAATCTATCTTTTTATCTCATTAAGAGATCTTCTGCTACACATCTTGTTCTTAACTCATTAACTACTTAATCTTTATCTATATCTATTAACATATAGGTATTCTACACAATACCATACAAGTTTAGACATACATACGTACACTTATGATCATACTACATATAACCATTCACTATATCTATCTACAATCTCTTAGGTATCCACAAATACATTTTCTCATCATCTACTCATACATAGGATTATAAAGCATATAATCACATTCTTTATTTATCTACTCTCAATCAAATTAATCATAATACCCTGTTCGTTCTCAATACATCTCTACATACTTTGGTTATAACACACATGCTTAGATACATGATATTAAGTGTATAACCACAAGTACATAATCTTACATAGGATTATAACACACATAATCCTCGTCTTTATTTCTCTTTTTCATGCTTAGATACATGATTCTCATATACAAACATAAATACACACACATTCACACACACATACACACACACACACACACACATATATATATATATATATATATGTGAAGACTAACTACCCTTCTTTGTTCTTTTCTTCAATTGATGCATTCTTGATCCATCTTCTTACTCATAGGCCTATTCATACATATAAACAAGTTCTTAATACTTGTATTTGCCTACTAAGAGCTTAGCTACTTCTTAATGTCAAAATGATCACTTAATTGATCATAATTCTAAAATTGTATTCTTTACTTCTAAATTCAATCTAATAATTGATATAAGTGCCCTATAATACCTAATTCATTATGGTGGTTGTCGAGACCAACAAAATTAATAATCCTAAATCTTTTACAATAAAATAGTGTATGGTGGTAAAGGGATCGGATCCACAGAGATTGGTTCAATTTTAACTCTGTGAAAATCTCTTTGTAAAAATATTTGTAAAATGATAATAAAAGTAAAAGCGGGGGTTTTGGTATTTTGAAATACTTGAAATAAACTAGAATTAAACTAAGATTTAAATGGACAATTTCAACAAAAACAAGGGTTTGATGTAAAATCAATAAGGAAAAGATGGTTGACTTAAGGTTTCCTAACTTTGACTTTTGATGAACATATCATTAGAATCCAATGGTGCAATACTTGTTTTAAATCTTCAATTTGGAT